AACTGCTTCCACCTGGACAATTGCTTTCACGTACTGAAATCTGCTGGATGGAGACAGCACAGACATGAAGCTTGACCCTCCCCTTCCTCCCTGAGAGCAGAGCCCGTGGCAAGGATGGGAGAGCCCTGTGCTCTGGGGAGTGGTTTTGGTGGGATGGGGGGGCACCAACCTTCCCATCTGAGTTCTGTGGGTTCACATCAACCCCCAGCCTCGGGCACAGCAGCGTCCACGATGCCACATGAAGGTGCCAGCAGTGTCCTGGTGCCCCCTGCAAGGGCCTGGGAGCCAAAGAGATGCTCAGCCACCATCCAGCCCCAGACACATCCAGGTGCCACCCAGCCCCTGCCTGGGCACCCTCCTCACAAGCACAGGGAACAGGAGAACTCTGCAACAGCTCAAAAGCCCAGGTGACCGCAGAGCTCTGCCACAATCAGGTCTGTCCCTGGAGGTGGAACCCTAACACAGAGGATGTTGGCTGTACCTCGCAGACAGCCTGCCTCGCTTTTATTTTGTTTAGTTTTAAGATTAACTGAGTCCCAGTCACACGCTGTCACTTCCCTCCTCTCTCTGCTGCCACCCTTAACTGTGCAAAAGGGTTAATTGATATGAAAATAACTCAGGGGGGCTGGACAGCTTTGAAAAACATACAGTATTACACACAAAACCTGCAATTACAGCTTGGAGGATTCACTCACTCAAAAATCTTAGGTTTTTTGAGAGTCCAAGGCATGGGACTGTTGTGATGCAGGTCCTGGACAGTTTCTGGAGTGGCTGAAGGCTGCAGACACCCACGGGCACAGTCTGGACAGGGATCACCCAGGGCTGGGACCAAGAGCATTCCACTGAGATGAGGAACCACTGTACCCCCTTCTCCTGGCTTACCTCTGCCTCATGCTGGGATCAGCTCAGGACAGCCCACTCTTGCACCCCTTGATTGATCCAACTGTCCCTTCCACCCTCTTCCTCCTCAAAGCCTGCTGTGTCCGGTGCTTTTTCTGAGCTTTGCTGGAAACAACAAACCCTCCCTGTGTGCAGGAGCACAGCCCAAGGGCACAGCCCCCACCCCAGCACATTGAAATGCTTCCTGGAGCTCCTCTCCATAATGAAGTTAGAAGGACATCATCATCCTTGCCAGGCTCCCTCCACCCCCAAAGATCAATAACTAATGCTGAACTCCAGATTTTATCTGCACTTTGCAAGGGTAACAAAATAACACCATCCTCTTTTTCTTTTTCTTTCTTTCCAATTATTGAATCCTTTCAAGATTGACCCAGCAATTTTCAGCTTTATGAAATTTTAGGCAGTGAAGAAAGTGACAGAAGTGATCTGCCAGAATGTTGGGAGAACTTTTGTGTGTGGTTTTTAGAAGACTGCAGGAATACAGTAGTACAGAAATAGAGGATCACAAGCACTTTCTTTTAAAAAAAAATAAATGGCACCTAAACAAGCTGACCCAGGGATATTTGTTTATCAAGTGCTGGTTCTTTGTGTGCCCACTGTCACAGCCAGAGGAACTCTTGGTAGGAGATATCCCAGTGATTCTAGGGTTATCTTGCCTACAATACACCAAAAATACTCCAATTAAACACAGATTTTGCAGCCTGCCTTTAATATGGCTAAACAGCACAAAATGCAAGAGCTGAGTCTTATCTTCCTTAGAGAACATCCAGGAATAGCTGGACATTAAAATACCCACAGCATGACTAGCCTGATGGCATTTTTAAGGTTACAGAATCAAAGAATCATTAAGGTTGGAAAAGACCTCCAAGATCAAGTCCACCACAGAGGTGAAGTGCTCCATGCCAGGCACGAAGTTCTATCTTGGGTGGGGTTTCCAAGCCAGGGTGAGCAGTTTTGAAAACCCCTGTTGCTCTGCCTGGCTCAATCCCTGCATTTCCACCAAGCAGTGCTGCAGCAGGCGGGTTACAGACACACAGGAGTGTGTACAGACACACACAGGAGCAACACACACGTGCCAGAATTATGTCAACAAACGCTCTCAATTTTCTTGCAAGGAAATTTATCTAGCCTTCTAGCAGTAGGGAGTGAATCTTAATCCTTTTCCCCTTTCCATGCCCACAATGATTATTCCAGGCATAGACTAACGACAGCAAACCACAGTGGATATTTTATCTGCCATTTCTCCTTCCCGTGGCTAATTTGAAGATACAGATTGCAACCCACAAGTGGTTTTAAGAATTGCCATTAACACTGTTGCTGCACGCTACCGCATTTTAAACACGCTTCCAACACAATCAGAGTGCCACAATTTGTAAAATCTGGGGTGATTTTATCGGCGGTTGAGGCGGCAGAACTCACTTCATCACCACAGCCCTGAGCCAGTTCATTAGGCTGATTAGCACTAGCTACCTGCACAGAGCAGGAAAAAATGCCACAAAAAGCTGGACAAATTTAAGTGTGAAGATGAAGAGGACTCTTACCCTGCCTTTTACACTTGATTTTTCCTTCCACCTGTACTTGGCAGGGGCAAGGGCCTGGAGCTGAGCCTCTCTGTCCTTTGGCAGCTGTGCAGCCCCTCGGCACCGGCCCGGCTTCCCTGCTCGCAGGAATTATGGCAAATCCCAGCCAACAAGCAGCACTGCCCTTCACCCTGCAATGGGTAAGCCTGTTTCCTGGGATACAGCCTCCCAAACAGAGCTGAGTCTCCTGTGTGCCAGAGAACTCCTTCCTTTGCCAGGAGAGGGACTCCAGTCCAGCCTGTCCCCAGGGTGACAGACCCGGGTGCAGAGGACTCCATGGAGCACAGGGGAGGTTGTGGGGTAACATCACCTCCACCCACTGGTACTTGGAGCCTGCTTTTGGTCCTCTGGGGCTTTTAGGTCCTCCCAACTTAGATCCCATCCACAAGCTTACACTGGGATGCTAATGCAGAGCAAAATGTCATGGCTTGCATGTAGGAAAAACAAGCTTTTAAAAAGAATTAGCCAATGAAATAAATTCATAGAATTCCAGGGGGAAAAAAAGGATGACCTGTTGCCTCTCATCTTCAACACACATAGTGTGGAAAAAAAGCCCTTTGTGGAAAACCCAAAAGGTTTCATGGCAACTAAGGTGCCCTCCAGAGCTGCAGCCCTCATCTTCAGCAGACCTTTACTCCTAGTAATTCAGTGGAAAGATGCTTTTGGACAAGGAATCCATCCTGCGGGGCTCATTACCCAGGCTCAATCCTGCAGCCTCCCCAAAGAGCACAGAAACGCTGAAGCAGGGCTGCTAGAGCAGAGCTCAGCACTGGCAGAGCACAGGCACCGACACTTGCTGTGGCCTCCTGCCTCGGGAAGTGCTTACAGCAGCACAGAGCCACGGCGGGGACACTGCAGGGGTCACCTTGAGGAACACCAGACAAGCATCCTGCAGGAAGCACAGGAAGGGCTCACACAGCCCTGCTCTGCTTCAGTGTCCCTGCAGAGCCTCCTGCCCTCCCCGGCAGCAGAGCACAGGCAGGGCAGGCACAAGGGACCCTGAGACCACAGGGAGCTTGGTGGGCAGAAAAGAGCTCACTGCAGGCACAGGTGGGAACCCAGCTCCAGGATTTGGGACATTTCAGCAAATGGAGACAATCTCCACCTGTGTCAGAGGCCAAATCTGCCGAGGACATGCCTTGCTGGGACCACAGGCCTCCCTTTCTCCTTGCCCCCAGACCACAGGGCCATGGGGCCCTTGTGCCCAGCACCAAAGCTCCACATCAGGCAGCTTTTAAATGCAACAAACGAAGTGCCAAGATCCTGAATGAAGAAGTGTATTTATGGCCCATTTAAGGGTGGCTGTGTGGGGAAGGGTGGAAAATTCCCTGGATATAAAAGGACGTTGTCAGGGATTGAACTTCCCAACCTAAGCAAGAGCTTTGGACAGGTCCCTGGAAAGCCACTGGCTGTTCACACACCTTCCCTGGCTCAAGAGCTGATCTTCCTGAGGAAGTCTTTTGCTTGCTGCTGCTGAACTTGCCAGGGTACTACAATCTCTGACTTGGGACAGGAGTCAGTGCCTGGGGGGGAGCTGCTGGAGGGAGAGGGAGCAAATGCTATCCTGGATGCTTGCCTGACTCACCCAGCCGTCTGCTCACCCCGAGTTTCTTGTTACAGCAAACTCCAGAGCACTGAGTGGTTCAGACCCTGTGCAGAGATGAAAGGGAGTGGGGAGGGCTGCCCCTCCCTCCCCCTGATGGGCACAGGCTCCTTCCCAACCCTGGCAGCCTCCCCAAACCACTGAGAGCAGCCAACACCTCCATGCCTGGGACAAGATCGAGCTGGGGCTGGAGCCAGGCGCTGCCTCTGGAACTATGGCACAGAATCCACCTCCAGAATCCACCCTGGCAGGGCAGGGAGTGGGGCCCTGGGACTGGGGCCCAGGGGAATACAGCAGGAATGGGAGCAGCTCTCCCAGAGACAGGGCAGCATCATTTATTTCCACTGAAAGAAATGGCCTAACAGTGAAAATAACCCTCAGCGCCTCCTCACAGACCTCTTAAAGCAACAATGAAACCTCATCTCCCTCATGAAATGTGTGCAGGGAAATTCCTCTTCTGGAGATCCTGCTTGTTCTGAGCTACCACTGCTGGGGGGATGAGCAGCCCTCACTCAGCTTCAGAACTCCAGCAATCCCAGTGAAGGGTTTAGCACCTTCATTTCCTGGTATTTCAGTTTAACTGGATTTATGCCCAGCTTAACTGATGCCAGCCACCTCAGTACAACCCGCTGCTTCCCGGCAACCTCAGCACATCCAGCTCCATGGGATTTACTCTCTCCAGGGAGCCTGACCATGGTCCTCCCAAAGAAAGGCCATTAGACTGACCAGGAAAGTCACTTCTAACAAGAAAATCCAGGTGCCTGGGGCATTCCATGCCAACCAGCCCCTCCTCTGCTCCCTGCAGGACAGGGGATTTAGTGCCATGGATTTAGCCACCGGCTCATCTCACTGAATCTGTTTTTTGCTCCCCCATGCTCCCCACACACTCTGAGGTCAGAGCTCCCAATCCCTCTTACCTCTATGCCTGTTGGTCGTCTTGTCAAACATTAGCATGGCATCTTCTACCTGCAAGACAAAGAGGGGAGAGTTGTGCTTTAACACACGCTGGCAACTCAGACACACCACACACACCAGGAAGAGGGGACACAGGCAGGAGCAGCCTGGACAGAGCAGAACTCCTTGGTTTTGGCCAGAGGCAGCTTCTCCTTTTGGAAACCTGTTGCTTTCTCCCTCTCCCTGCCCTGTCTGACATCTGATCCTGAAGCAGGAAAGTGACCACTTAAAGTGCTGGCCCTAAACAGCCATCTCAGCAACTCTTCCACTTCACATCCATCCCTGGCCATGCCTCATCTCCCTTTCATGGAGACCAGGAAGGGCCAAGGGAGGAAGGGGGGGATGCAAATCAAACCCATGACTTCTCCAAATTGGAGTCACTGTCTTGGCTGAGAATTAGGTTAAAAGAGGTATGAGCAGGGTAGAATCTGGTCAGCCAAGAAAGGTATTCAGAGGTTTTCAAAAGGGCTTTTGAAAAGCTGGAGGAAAGAGGGGAGAGGGGGGAGGGAGAAACTTTAATTCGCATCAGGCTCGGCATTTCCACTTCAGAAGAGAGATGACTGATGAAACGTATTGAAGTGCAACCAAATTGCTTTCAACTTTCATTAGGATTTGCATGATTTATTCCACCTCCATTTAATCTGTGCAGCCACACCTAAAATTTTGCACTTACTGCACAAGGATGTTGTGCTGGGGTTGATTTCCCAGCACTATCACACCTTGAGCTGCTGTTCTGAGGCTGCAGGAGTGGAGGCAGGTGGGTCCCGTTTGCCACTGGACACATCCTGGGCAAGCTCTGAGATGAAATTACAGACTTGCAATTCCCTGTTATAAACTCAGGGATGATGAAAACCTGTAATATTGAATTATAGAAGGTGCTACAGGAAGGGGGAAGAACTTTAAAGAAAATGTTTTATCCTCTAAAGGACTCTTCTCTTTGTCTGGGGTGTGGCTTTGGGATTTTTTGTTTGTTTTGTTTTGTTTGTTTGAGGTTTTGGGAATTTTTTTTTCCCTCCAGTAATTCTTCCTGTACTTCCCTGTGCCTCTACTCTGTCTTTGTATAAATCATTTATTTTAGCTAAGTGATTTACAATGCAGTTACATGGTCTCCTCATCTCACACAGTGCCACCAAAGGATCCACCTGTCCCCCCAGATGTCCTCTTAGGCAGCAGACAGACATCCAGCCTATGTCTGTGAAAAATTTCTCAGCCTTGGCTGGCGAGAGTTTGGGAAGGTGGTGAGAACACAAGTTGAACATCCTGAGGTTCTGAAGGATTGTAGTATGTTCCAGGAGATAGAAAAAAATAAAGTGCAGCAAAACCTTACGTGATGCCTAAAATTATCTGATAACCTGTCTCTGCTTAAGTGGTTCTTAACTTTTTTAGTCAAAATGGTTTGCAGAAAGTGCTAGCAATGGCTTGAGACAGTGCAGAACTGCAGGTCTTCTGATACCCATCCTGACTGAGACCTGAAGATGCTGATGCACTGCAAAACACAAACTGCATTAAGCACGGAGCTGTTTGTCCTGCTGTCTGTCTTCCCTCCAAGGGGGAAAACTCACCAGGATGAGCAATACCAGGAGGCAGATAAGGACCAGGCTGCCCTTCACCCTGCACGCTGCTTATCTCTGCCCCAGGGTTAAGTTTGCTCAGCAATCTTTATTTTTCATTCTCACAGGTCTTGGCCTCACTGGAACCAAAAATTACATATTGCACCTGCTGCTGTGTCCTGGGGCATCGCAGCTCCCGGTGCCTCCTGGTTTCCTACACCAGGGGGACACTCTGTCCCCACTCAATCCCTGCTGCAGAAGGTTTGATATGGAACTTTTCTCCCTCCATTCCCATCCCAGAGCCCCGAGAGCTCTTGGATGTGCAGGAGCACAGACCCAGCAGCCCAGGGAGGTCCCTGTCCCCCGACCCGGCGTGCAGGCTCTCCAGGCTGGACCCACATGTCCTGCCAAAATGACACCTCCTATTGCAAGGACATTACTGGGGACTTCAAAAAGGCTGCTGTGCTGGTTAGGGAGAGCAGAGATGCTCCAGCATGTCCATGTCTCAGCAGCAGCACAGCCCTGAACCGCCTGTGCAGCCTCACTGTGCTTCTCCAAGGGCTGCCAGGGCAGAGGAGGGGCTGGTCTCGGCACCAGACCCAGCACTGCAGGGCTGAGGGGCTCTGGGTACAGCCCCTGACCACACTGGGCTCTGCAGTCCCCTTCCCTTCTCCCACCTGTCCCACGCAACACCATCCTCTGGGCAAGCAGGGCTTTGTGCCATGTGTACCAAGCTGGAATGATGATCTTGACAGGGATCTTTTTTATGCAAATAAATCCCTATTAGCAGTAACAAGCATAGGCTGCAGGGGCTAATCCAGGAGGGAGGTTTCCTGGGGCCCCGAGGAGCACAGGCACCCTGGAGCAGGCGCTTCCCCCCTCCAACAGCACCAACTGCTGGGATCAGGGCCGGGCAGCAGCTCCCTGAAAAAGGGTCAGCCCTGACAGTCCACATATGAAACCTGCACGGGGGGAGCGTCTCTGCAGCCGAGTTCAGACGTGGCCCAAGTATGCCTTGAAGAAAAAATTATCAGTGGGGTGTTCTTTGAGCCAGCTGGTGCCCTTTCAACAATGTCTAATTGGTTATCTTTTCTCTTTCCTAAGGTCAGAACATTTTATCTCCGTCTCTGCCCTTTCTGTGCTTACCCCACCCTGCGTTATTTTTTAGGGCAGCCATTGTAGCAGAAGAATAGCCTCTTTCCTCCATAGTCCAGTGACACAATGAGACTTCTTGAAACCTCCTGAATAGATAAAGTGCAGTGGCAAAAGGAAAATTCTATTAACGCTTTGCAAAATAAAACATCTAAGAGCTGGTGAGACAAGCAGGAGAAGAAAATCAATATGGAGAGGGCAGCACGCTTAGAAAAACTTTTCACCAGTTGCAAAAAGGTGGCGAGGGTATGGGAAGGAGGGGGGAGAGAAACTTATTAATGCAGAAAACCCATCAATGGTATGGAAATCTGGCAGAACAGCAAGAACTCAAACTAGAAGAATTTGAATATACAAAGGGCTGAATAGAATGAGCAAACCACACTGCCTCACACACACAGCCCGTTTCTCACGGTTCTCTGTGAAGCAAACACAAGCGGCTTGTTCAAGTTTTCATCAAGGAGAAATAAGGGACACAGTCAAGGTAACCGGCAGTAAACCCTGTAGTAAGCAAATTGATCCCCATTTCAGGGGAAGGGAAAAAAAGAAACAACCCGCAGCCGAAACTCAAGCACACTCAGGGGCTGTGACTGCCCAAGGTACTCCCCTCCTCCAGCCCAGCTCGCCCAGGGTTTTAGAGATGCTCAACTGCAAGTTTTCCAGGGCTCAGCTCAGAACATGCAGCTCGCACTTTGCATGCAAGAGGCAAGGAAGGTTTTGCCAGGGTTAGAAGCAGGACTGGAAGATGGAATTCACCCACCAGGCAGGACTTCAGCTCCCAGCGAAGCCCTGGGTGCCCCAGCACAGGAGGGGGAGGCTGAGCCACCTCCATGCAGGGCACCCAGACACCAGCAGGCAACCCAAGCCCCCAGCCTCTGTCAGATGGAGCACGGTTCGATACGGAGGCTTACAGGAGCTGATTATTCTGGACTCATTCTGAGCACCAAGTGAGTTACAAAATGAACAGTCTCAGGACTTAGGGTAACTAAAAAAAAAAAACCAAAACAAAGACTTGCCAGTGAACACTGGTTACAAATGGACACTTAGGCCCCCAGACTCCTCTGTCCCAGCACAGCCCATCCATACAGCCAATGCAGACCCAGTTTCTTACATAAAGCCTAACTAATGGGCTTCAGTTTATTTAACTTTTTTTTTTTTCCAATCCACTTGGGGCTCTGAGAAAAGGAAGGGCTCTACCACTTCATTACTCACTGCCTGGAAGGAGGAATAGGGGAGAATAGGAGGAAAGAAAAAAAACCTGGAGGAGCCAAAGGCTTTAATAATCCTAACAGTTCCCAGGGTTATTTAAAATATGCCCAACCAGTTCACAAAAGGCTCCACGGAGATAAATGTATTTGATTTTCTTCCACTTTAATGGAGGCATACATTTAAAGCAACAAAACCAGGGTGACCTAAATAAAATGACTATTAATTGTACTCAGAAAGTCTCTGAATTTAATGCAAGTGATCTAGCCCAGCACAAGAACACAGTATTCTCCAGTCATTCCTCCTACTTTCTTCTTTGGGATTTTCAACTCCTCTTTTCCACGAGGCAGCAGGAGCTGATCAGACCCGGCACAGCCCACAGTCACTCACACTGTAACCAACAGGCTGAGTGCCCTGCAAAACCCAGCAGCGCTTCCACGAGAATCTGTAGGGTGGTGCTGCAGGAGCTGGAGCACTGTGCTGCCACCAAAAGCTGAAGGACCAAACCATTTTCTTTTTCTGAAAAACTTTAAGCCTCATCCTGTATCTCTCCAACTGCACGATGCCCACACAGACACAGACCCAAGAGGTGCCCATGGGCCCTCCTTGTGAAGCCAACCTTCCTGTACAAGGATGAGCACAGGAGCAGCACCCATCACCACGCCAGCTCCGTGTTCTGGTTCTTCCATTTGAGTCAAGTTTACTGAGTAAAACTTCCAGAATGAAACCACCATAACTACACTGAAGTGACACACAGCAGCTTTTATGCCACCTCATCCAGCCCAGGAAGGCTTTTCCTGATCCAAAACCTGAGTTTCCAACACATCCAGAGTAGGTCGAGGTGTTCCTGTGCTCCCTGAAAGTGTCTTCCTGGGGTGGAGGGGTTGTTTTCCACACTCCCAAACAGATCTGGCACTATGTTCTCCATCCCTTCAAGGTAAAGAAGAATAAGGGCAGACAAATGGCATTACACCTGGAATGGAACAGTGGCAATTCCAGCTGGGTCTGGGGAGGGAAGGAATTACTGAAGAACAACCTTCAGTCCCACACAATTTGGTTGTGCCTCTCCTCCCTCCATCCCTGACTCATGAACTTTACAGGTCTATC